AGGTTTTTGTCAATTTTTCTTCCAGATACATCGGAAATTTTGAAAAAACAGTGAAAACGAGCGAAAAAATTTTAAAAGTTTGAATTCGCGCGCTTTTACTCACCGGGCGGCCTAGAAAAAACCTCGTCCCTAAAGGCTTTCATCGTATTTTTCGATGCGTTTTTCTCGATGAAGGAATTTTTTTGAATTTTTTCTTTATTTTTATGTCAATCTACATGCATTTCTGCACATTTTGATGCAATAAAAAATTTCACCATACACCACCTTTCACATCGCTAACTCTACTGTAGTTCGCTGTGAGAATCAAAAACCATTTTTGGAAGGTTCCTTTAAGGTACTGTAGAGTTTTAGAGGCTTGATTTCAAATCATTATTGCTGTCCGAAAAAATTGGAGTTAGAGAGTAGTTTTTGCAGTCTGAATACGGTATGCACCTCGAAGCGGCAAGCCTAAATAGCACATATTCGGTGGAGACGCAGAGAAATTTTTTGTTCAACTGTCTGCGTCTCGACTCCAATTTTTTCGCACAACAATAATACAAGTTTCAGCTCAAAACTTGAGTTTTTCGGCTGAAAATATACTGTTTTCAGTTTTAAAAATGTTGAAAATCAAAATTTCGTGCCAAAAAAACTGCCAACTCCGTTTGAAAAATTGAATTTTTGGGCGATTTTTTTCAAATTTTCAAGTCGAAAATTCCTTAAATTCGGACTATTTCAATCAATTTTTCGTTACATGCGGACGCGTCGCGTGCCTGCGTCACGGTCGCTAACGACCGCAAATGAAAGCTTAATGTGAACTTAATAATAATAATAATAATATATTTATTTGCAATGCATGGGGGAAATCAATAGATAATTCGGCAAGAAATGGGACATGAACAAATAAAAAAGTAAAATGACCAGACGGACCGACTAGAGTCCTGTAGGTCAAGTGGGAGGGATCAGAATATCATAAGGAATCGCTCCTACTCGCTTAGCAAACGCCACCGGCTGAGCTTAGAATTTATCACCTTACATACACGATTCCACGTAGACAAGTTTCTGTGAAGGAAGCAGTCAAAGTATTGACCGTTGATTTTGAACAAATACGGGGCTCTGTTAGAATGGCTGGGAAGAATGTAGGACGACATAGAGGGAAAATGGTATGAGTTTATAACAATTTTGTGATAGGTACGAAGAACTAGAAGGGTGCGGCGATGAAGGGTGGTTAGCATAGAGAACTGGGATAGGCGATCGGTGTATGAATTGAATTGGGCATATTACATCTCTGGAAGACTTTTCTGGTGAAATAACGAAGAGGAGATTCTAGTTTATTGGCAAGTGTGGCATTGGATGGATCGAAAAGTTCACAACCGTATTCGAGGACCGGTCTAATGTAGGTGTCGAAGAGACGGAAATATAAACAAGGGTTTTTCGATTGGAACGTTTTCAGTATTTGGCGGGACTTGAGTTTAGCAGAGTAGGCAATAAGATTGATGTGTTTGTCGAATTGAAGTTGATCATCAACTAGTATACCTAGGTCCTTGAATGAGCGATGCGGAGTAATGGGGGAACCCTTAATAAAATAAACTGTCTTATGATTGCGTTTACCATAATGCATAACGGCCGTCTTATTTTCGGCTAGTTTGAGTCTCCAGATGTCACACCAGGGCTCGACGATTTCGATACTTCTCTGCATATCCAATGGGTCGGAACCGGTTATTTTTATGTCGTCGGCGAACGCCGTGACATGAACATTGGGAGGAAAGAGGCCGAGTAAGTCGTTAATGTAGATCAGAAACAAAAAGGGGCCAGTGACACTTCCTTGGGGGACTCCGGATTTGACAACAATCTCGCTGGTTGACATTAAGCCATTAACCTTGACGTTGGATGATCGGTTGCTGATAAAGGACTCGAACCAAACGCAGCATCGTTCATCAATACCTATTCGCCTCATTTTCAGCAGCAAGAGATTGTGTGGGACAGTGTCGAATGCCTTGCGAAAATCAAAGTAAATAACATCTACGAATTGTTGCTTATTTGCTAACGTTTTCTGTATTTTGGAAGTGGACTCAAGGACGGCTAGAACACAAGATCGCTTACTGACGAATCCGTACTGATTCGGAGAAATACTCGGACCGATAACACGCTTTAGCTCTTCAAGGACTAATCTTTCGAAGAGTCTGGAAAGTGCATGAGTGAGCGTTATGGGTCTGTAGTTATTAGCGTCATATTTGGATCCCTTCTTGAATATTGAGCTAACAACCGAGTGCTTCCAGATCTCAGGAAATTTGGCGGAGGAGAAGGATTCTTGGAAGATGAGCGAAAGAGGGATGGTTATCGCATCACTGCACTTTTTGATTACAAGGAAGTTGATAAAATCCGGGGAGAAACCGACTTTTGAGGGTAGAGAACCGATGTGCTTAGCAATATTTAGAGAAAATCAAGACAGACGGCAAAGGGAGCGATAGCAGGGAGGGCGGAGAAAGGAGGGCTTGGGGGCGAGAAGGCCTCTTGGAAGACAGAAGAAAATTCGTTGGCTAGTTCAGAAGCGTCTGAGGATATGGTGCCATTAATCAGGAGAGAAATGGGGCAGTGCGGGGGACGGAGTCTAGATTTAACGAAATGGAAGAGTTCTTTGGGGTTCTTGTTGTTGATAATAGAGAGCTCCTCCCTTGCACGCGCCCTCTTAACTCGATCGAGCTGCCGCCGAACAAGCAGTTTGAGCTGGGGTCTAGGGAGGGACGGGTTGCGACGTTGGATGAACCTGAAAACCTTGGGTTTTCTATGCGAGAAGGTTGGACGACGAGCACGGACGGTTGGAGTGTAGAGGACTACGAGCTCGTTGAAAATGGCGGAGAAATGAGCAAGTTTCGAATCAACCGTGGAGAAGACAGATAGCTGCCTGGGCCAGTTGTAAGAGCAGAGATGATCCAAAAGACGCTTGACGTCACATTTTATATAGTCTAGACGTTTTGACGAGGTAGTTGAGGATGGGTGAAGGAGGAGAAATACTAGGTAGGATTGTTTCGAAGAGGACAGAGGAATGGTCAGAGAGCAGGAAGGGTGGAAGATTCACGGTTTTCGAGATGAGTTGCGGCTTGTTACAAAATACTAGGTCTAAGAAGTTTTCAGCACCGCAATGACTGGTTCTGGTTGGGAAGTCTACTATCTGAGTCAGGTCGGATAGTGACATCAGGCTTTCCAGGCCAGCAGGCAAATCATTAGGCAGAAGGTTATCAGAAGACCAGTTTATCTGCGGGTAATTGAAATCACCGAGAAGGAAATTGAAGCGATAACTGTTGCTGAGCAGTAAAGATAGATTGTGAAAAAGTACATCGGATTGGGCTGGTGAGGTGGACGGAGGACGGTATACTAAGACGAATCGGCAACTTATCTGAAGCAGATCGACAGTGATAATTTCGCAGTGGTGTAGGGGGTAAAACTGGGAGCTGAGACTATCAGCCTCTACCAGCTGTATGTCTTTGCGGGCGAACACCGCGACGCCACCTCCCTTGCCTTTAGGGTTAGGGGAACGTCTGTCGAAGCGAAGACAATGAAGGGTCGAAGATGAGGAGAGAGAGTCAGGGACGGATGGGGAGAGAAAGGATTCAGTAACAAAATGAAGGTCGATCTGGTTGTCTAGCATGTCAGAGTGAAGTACTTGGAGGCGAGATTCAACAGTCGAAGGAATTCTGCACATCGGCGATATGTATGCGACACCAATGGTACTTCGAAGATGCGAGGAGTTTCTTTTGGAAAAATCAGAAAAGTCGGCAAAAAAACGGCTGGGAATGGCCGCTCGACACAACTTGGAAAATTTAAAGGTGAATTTCTTTTTTGTTTTCGACAAAAAAGTTTCTTAATTTTCAGAAAAAGTGCATTTCGGAAATCAAGACGGTCGCTGATATTCGAGCAGTTCTTCCTTCAAATATCGAAGACATGGATCATCAGATTTTGGCTGAACTTTTCAAAAAATCGATTTCTCTTCATTAATTTGTTGAATTTGCTATTTTATTCAATCTTCTTTGTCAATTTTGCCAATTTCTTTTTGCATAAGAAACGTTTTTTTTTGTGAATTTCTTTTTTTTTTGTTACTAATATCGCGATGGCGCGCTAAATACTTCTAGTGCCGAGAAAAGCGGCCCGCGAAGGCCCGGCAAAGGCCCGGATTACAAGTATGGCTTTTACCGTTTTTTTCTCACATCGATCAATATAATGTGACTTGTTGTATATAAATTGTTGTTACTTCCAGAAAATTACGCGAAAATGGGTGATAACAACGAAGAAATTGGAAAGAATCCGAAGATAGATTCGCAGTCAGAAAAATTCGAAATTCTTGAAAAACTAAATTCACAGGAACAAAAGTTCGATGAATTCGCAAAAAAGCTACAATCCATCGAAGAATCAGTCTCGAAAATTCCAAAATTTGATGACGACGAGAAAAAGACGATGATGAAATTCGAAAAACAATTGGAATCATTAGAAAAGACAATGTTGTTGAATGTGACATTTTCTGTAGAAAAATGAGAAAAATAAAACGAACCGTTTTTGAGACATAGAATTTGGTGTCTTGCACTACCAGAAGAACATCGGAAACGTCTTTTTGGGATTCATCGAATTTTCGAAACTTCTTTTTTTCAAATCCAGTCATTTTTAGAATCTCAATTTCAATTTCAACAGTCAAATTACCATCGATAAGATAATTGTCTCTAATTTCTTCCCATTTCAGAAAATCAAGAATTATCCATTTGCGTCTCGGTTCAGAACGGAATTTCATAGTTTTGATGACACTGTTGTCGTCATTACCCATCACTCTGAACTCTAATTTTGTCTCGATCGTCTCAATTGACCATTCATCTCCGACCGGAGCAACCGGCTTACAAAAAGCAAAAATTTCAAAATGACTGCTTTCTCGGCGTACAATTTCGATTGAGCTGAAATGAAACATGAAGTATCGAACAAACAATTTTCAGTAGTTTTTTTTTCTCTGTTATTAATCTAGAAGTAAGAATGATGCAGAAAATGTAGCATGGTTTGTCGAAGTCAAATGAAAACTACCATTTCACGTTGAAAAGCTCTTCTTCTTCGCTGATACCCCCCCCCCCCCCCCCCATCTGCCTTTTCCTAAACTTGTCACATTTTTGAACACATGTTTCAACACGAATCTCTTCTCTGATTTCAGCTCCTTCTTGTTTTGATTCTGGAACGGAAATCTACTTCTTACTAAGGAAACTTTTCTGTGTGTGTGTCCGTCTCGGACATTTACTTGAATAACTCCAAAGGGCATGGGACTCCTATAATGGTGTGTGGTATGTAGCCATGGACTGCCGAGCGCTTCATGTCTATGGTGTCCTGGGCCTTCTAGCTTATAGGGAAGCTACAGTGTTGAGAATCGTAAATTTCAAAATTATGTTGAAACTCACTAAAACTTCAGGGAATTCTCAAAAACGGTTTTCAGGCCTATCTATGTGTTGCCTACAAAAAATTGAGCACAAATCTTCAAAACTTAAAATTTTTTTAATTCCTTTTTTTCGTATATCACTTAAATTTCGATCCTGTGGACTACTGAAAAAGGGTCATAGTAATTTTCTACAGAATACAAGGTTCTTAAGTTATGCGCAAAATTCTAGAACATTCCAGAAAATTCTAAAAAATTTCAGAACATGCTAGAAAATTCCAGAAAATTCTAGAAAATTTCAAAAACTTACAAAAAATTCCAGAAAGTTTCAGAACATTCTAGAAAGTTCCTGAACACTCTAGAAAATTCCAGAAAGTTCCAAAACATTCTAGAACATGCTGGAAAATTCTAGAAAATTCTAGAAAATTTCAAAAAATTACAGAAAATTCCAGAAAGGTCCAGAACATTCCAGAACATTCTAGAAAGTTCTAGAACATTTTAGAAAATTCCAGAACATTCTAGAAAATTCCAAAAACTTCTAGAAAATTCCAGAAAGTTTCAGAACATTCTAGAAAGTTCTAGAACTTTCTAGGAATTTTGAGTTTATTATAGAACATTCTAGAACATACTAGAAAATTCCAGAAAATTCTAAAAATCACAGGAAGTTCCAGAAAATTCCAGAAAAGTCCAGAACATTCTAGAAAATTTCAGAACATTCTAGAACATCCTAGAAAGTTTCAGAAAATTCTAGAAAATTCCTAAACACTCTAGAAAACTCCAGAATATTCTAGAAAATTCCAGAAAGTTCCACAACGTTCTAGAAAGTTCCAGAACATTCTAGGAATTTCCAGAACATTCTAGAACATGCTAGAAAATTCCAGGAAGTTCCAGAAAATTCGAGAAAATTCCAAAAAGGGCTAGAAAATGCCAGAAATTTCGAGAACATTCCAGAAAACTCCAAAAGACACAAAACATTCATGAAAGCTCTAGAAAAGTTCAAGAATATTCCAAAAAATTCCAGGCGGGTCTCGAACTTTCTTAAATTTTAGCTTTCTCTACAAAAATATTGCAACATTTTCTCTATACTTTCATTGTGATCTCGAACCAAAGGCTGCAGAAATTCGACAATTGAGGATTTTAGGTTAGAAATTCGAGACTTTAGAAAACCAAACAATTGTATTCCCTTTTCAAGAAACATGTATTCTGTCATGTAGAAACTCGGAAATTCAGAAAATCGGATATCTTTTTTCTCAAAAAAGCGACAAGACTTAACAGAAATTATCAGAAAAATGAAAAAAAGTACTTCTGTTTTATCAGAGGTGAGCATCAAATAGATGTGGGCTTCTATTGGAGAAATTACTTTATCTAGAAATTCCCATATTAGTAACATCCAAAATTTAAAAATTGAAATACTTGGAAGTTTCAGGCACTCGGAAAAGTGGAAAATCTAGACTTTAGAAATTCAAGTGTAAGATTTAGAAATTCAAGTGTAAGATACCGTGAACGAAAGCCAGGAGGTTGAGCCCCCGGCAGGGGGCTCAAACCGACTGGTAAGTTCTAGTGAATTATTTTCTGTAAATGTCACATTCAACAACATTGTCTTTTCTAATGATTCCAATTGTTTTTCGAACTTCATCATCGTCTTTCTCTCGTCGTCATCAAATTTTGGAATTTTCGAGACTGATTCTTCGATGGATTGTAGCTTTTTTGCGAATTCATCGAACTTTTGTTCCTGTGAATTTAGTTTTTCAAGAATTTCGAATTTTTCTGACTGCGAATCTATCTTCGGATTCTTTCCAATTTCTTCATTGTTATCACCCATTTTCGCGTAATTTTCTGGAAGTAACAACAATTTATATACAACAAGTCACATTATATTGATCGCTGTGATTAGAACATAACAGAAAATCCGGGAAAAATCGTTGAATATGTGAGAAAAATCGAAGAAATCTTCTCTATAAAAATGTTGTTACCATACTTTAAAGGCCCATGACACATATTGTTACAAGACAAATGAGTGTTGTGCCTTCGAAGTACTGTAAGTTTCGTTTAGCAGACTTTCTTCGCTTTTCTCGGAAAAACACTGCAAAAATGACACAAAATTCTTTAAAAAAAAGGTTTGAAAAGTCATTATAAAATCAATGACACATATTACTCTTGTCCGAAATCAATGCACGTTGCGGCCGAGAAACCACCGGGAGTAATATTATTGTTGTCTGAGAAAAAAACGGTTGAGACGCAGACAGTTATTCTCTGCGTTTCCACCTAATACGTGCTATTTAGGCTTGTCGCTTCGAGTTTGCTACCGTATTCAGACTGCAAAAAATACTCTCTAACCTTTTTATTTTTCTCAGACAGCGATAATAAAAATAAAAAAGGTTTAGATGAACAGAAATTTCTAAAAAAAAGTAAAGAGATGTATTTTTTCAAGAATTTTATTCAACAAATAACATAGCAAAAACAATAGAAACGAAAAAAAAAGAAAGATCCGAATCTGGTTGGAAATCGATTACCATTGCTCGTCACTGACGCCAGCATGAGAAACACATTTTTGAAGAATTGCGAGCACATCCGATGGGTCCAGATCGCTGAGATCGCCAGGGAGAAATACTCGAACATCGTAGATATTATGGATTACTGAGAGGCATTGAGTCTGGAAAAATTGTGTAAAATTAACGAAAATTCTCTCGAAATATAATCGATACCTTCAATTTTTCAAGACAGTATTGTGTCGACAATAGTAGTTTTTTCTTCAAATTCTTTTTCGATTTTTCCATCAGAAACTCTTCGCATTTTCGAACAACAATCGATGTATCATACATATCTGCAACGAGCAAGATTCCTTCGATTGTTGAATCTAAAAAGTTTCGAGGATAAAAAATCGATAATTAAGTTTCTGCAAAATTACCATCGATAGCGGATTCGCCGTAAAGCACCTCCAGAAAACGCTGGAAATCATTTGAATCAATTCCAGACAGAGTGAGTTCAGATTTGCCGGATTCTGAGAAATTTCCGAGGAAAAGAGTTTTAAAGAAGGGAGATTGTGCGGCGAGGTACTGAAAAAATCGATAATTCGCTGTAAACTTAGAAAAAAGTGTTCCAACCATTTTTAAGACATAGAATTTGGCGTCTTGAACCACTACAACAACATCGGAGACTTCTTTCTGTGATTCGTCGAATTTCCGAATTCTCTTCTTTCCATACCCACTCATTTTCATAATCTCAACTTCCACTTGAGCTGTCAGTTTATCATCAATAAGATAATCGTCTTCTAATTGTTGCCATTTCAAAAAACGATCACATCCATATCCCTTTTTCGTCTCGAAACAATATTTCAACGTTTTGGTGGCATTGTTGTTGTCTCTACCCATCATTCTCAATTCAAATTTTGTTTCAATCGAATATTTATTTTCGACCGGAGCTATGGGATTAAAAAAAACAAAGAATCCAATATGATTCTTGTTGCGTTCGATTTTCATCTTCCTGAAATGCAGAAAACCCCAATTAAGGTTGAAAATCGCTGAAACGAAAACTACCATTTCATATCGAAATGCTCCTCTTCTTCGCTGTAAGAATAACGATTGTTCTCATCTAAATCATTAACATTTTCAAACAAATGCTTCAGCACAAATCTCTTCGCTGATTTCTGTTCCCAATTCTTAGAACTCTGAAACAAGAAAAAATTTAAAAAATTATTTCAATTTTTTCTCTCAATCTCACATTCGATAAAATTGAATTTTTCGAAATTGATTCTTCCATTGATTGCAGCTTCGACGCGATTTCATCGAATTTTTTCTCATATGAATTTGTGATCTCTTCAGTTTCAGCCACCACCACTGATTTCAGTTTTTCAAGAATTTCATTCTGTTCCCACTGCGAATCAATCTTCGCATAATTTTTTGGTTTCGCTCGGCCTTTCTTGTTGTTAACCATTTTTGAGTGTGATTCTGGAAAAAAGAGCGACTATTACTCTCGAAATTATACTCAAAATCGCATCGTCGGTCGCACAGCAAAGAAACTAATTGATGCATGCGCCTTTAAATACCGTACCTCGGACGCTTTTTATTTTGGGCCCTATTTGGCTGTTTTTTTTCTATTTTATAAGAAAAATAAATTAAAGATTCATAAGAATTAGACAAAATTAGACAGAAACAAGCGAAAAAATGAGAGAAAAAGGCAAATTCGATAAATATTGAGGTACTGTATTAAAGGCGCGTGCAATAATTTGAAAAATACAGTAAGGTTCTCTCCGTGGGAGCTAAGCTCCGCCCACCGTTGTTTTCTCGGCCGCAACGTGCATTGATTTCGGACAAGAGTAATATGTGTCATTGATTTTATAATGACATCTCTAAATTCGATGAAAACATGCAAGAGAGTACTGTAGTTCAAAGGCGCATGACAGCTAAGTCAACAACCATTCACGAACTTGAGCCTTTGGGATACGGTATGTTTTTTGTTTAGGGGGACTCCGACCAAAAATTTTTATTGCATTAAAATGTTCGAAAAGTTGTCTATTCACGGCATCGCGGTTGGAAACCTAAAAAATGCGCGCTTCGTCGCACACAAAAGTTGGCTGCGTGCCAGATTCGAAAATTTTGAAACGTGTTTTGAAAAAAACGTGAAGTTAAGCGTTGTTGAGTCGCTACTCACCGAAAAGCCGCGACGCGACCGCGCAACGCGTCCAAAATTGGCGCTCTTTCCAATTTTTAAATCTAGGTTCCCTTCCGCGAGGCCGTGTCTATTTTCCCAATATTATAGTGAAAAAATCTGAAACCCCCGAAAAATGCCGTTAAAAGCGAAAAAATTGTTAGGAGGGACGAGGATTTGAATTCCCGCGCAGTGAGAAACTTAGGCCACGGCACCTGACAGCCGTTTTTTCAAGTGG